ATTCCTTAGGAAAAAAATAGAAAAAAAATAGTGGATGAGATTTCCTCATCCACTGGTTCTCAGCCTTGACTCCATTCGGCATATGAAAAGCTTTTCCTTTCCTTTTTTTTTTTTTTAAAGATTTATTTATTTGTGTGTGTGTGTGTGTGTGTGTGTGTGTGTGTGAGAGAGAGAGAGAGAGAGAGAGAATGAGCATGACCAGAGAGCGAAGGAAAGGAGAGAGAGAATCTCAGGCAGACTCCCCACTGAGCGCAGAGACCCTGAGATCACAGCCCTGAGCTCATGACCTGAGCTGAAATCAAGAGTCAGGCATTTAACTGACTGAGCCACCTAGGCACCCCCAATATCTGAAAAGCTTTTTTAAAATACTGAGTCCAGTGTTCCACCCCAAGAAAACCTTGTACACCTTGCCTCTACTATGTTCTGGGATTTAAAAAATCTTGGGTGACTCTAACTTGCAGCCATCATTGAGGGCCACCACCTAAGTGCTATGTTTTGTGACAATCAAGATTCCTTATTGCCTCCCATGGCACTTGTATTCATCAATTCAAGAGGCTGTAGCAGAAGACCATTTCAGACTCTCCCCATCCATTCCTGTACTATGGAACAATTCTGTCCCATGTTTGGACTGACCAGTGAGTGAGTGACCAAGCTTCTTTGTGTTGGAAGCTTTTAGTTCTGAAAAAAACAGTGAAAGATACAAAATATCTCACTGCCCCCACCCACTACGCAGCATCTGGCCCACCATATCTCTTTCCTTTAATTTTCTGTCCCAGATTTTAGCTTTTATCATAGAATTCCCTACACATTCCTATTGTTTTATTCATCTGCTTATTCATTTGACTGAGTGTTCTCTCTCATGATACAGTATAACCTGTGGGAGTAAGAAGTTTTCTTTCATTTCTTGTTACCTCAACACACTGCCAAGCACAGAACTGACCACCAAGAAAGACATTTGGTTTGTATAAATAAAAGAATGATTATGTGAAAGAGTTGTAAACTGGGAAACACGAAGTAGATGGGTGGTCGTTCCAGAATAGCATCAACTCTGAGTTCCTTCCCACAGGTGCACTTTTTAAATAAGAGTGTGCAACAATGAAGGATGGGAGGAATTCCTAGGGTAGCCCCTGATGAAATCTTCTGTTTCTATAGTTGGTGTCTCCCCTTGCTATGCACGACTGGGAGGATCATGCTTTAGATTGGATACATGTCCTTTTAACGTACTCTGACTTAAATTGTGGGGGTTTGGGGTTATTATTTCTGCTTTAGGAAAAATTATGAGAAGAAAGAATCAATCCTTAGGTCAAAATGGAGATCAAGAAATTATCCTATAGTGTCTTTCCCAAGCAGTAGGAGAATAGGCTCAGGATTTTCAATAGATACTTCCAAAGGATCAAACTCTGGCAATTATATTCTAATATCATTGTGCTATTACAGATATTTTTCCAAGGATTTTAAATGACAACAATTTCCACAGTAGAGATATTTATCTTAATATTCCAAAACATAATATGTGGAAAGAATTTAAAAAGCAAATGTATGTATTATTAAGCAGTGGGTATGGATCTAATGTGTGTGTGTGTGTCTGTGTGTCAGTGTGTTCCTGTATACACACACATATATATACATATAACTTGGCTTTATTTGCTCTATGGAATATTTATAGTATATACGCATACATATATATATATATGTATGTGTATATAAAATCGTACATATGATGTATATATAATTGTATAATATATATATGTAATATAATTGTATGGCATGTACATATATGTGTACATATAAACACACATACATATATACACCATATATAAAATATAAATATAAATGTAAATAAATGTGCATGCATATTATAGAAGTCACTCTGCTATACCAGGGATTTTGGCATGCATTTTATGTTTACTCATACAAATGAGGAAACCAAGCTTAAATATACTTAAATATATTGTTTAATGTCAGTTAGCTAATAAGGAGGAGAGTCAGAATATTTATTCAGAGTTCCAATTATAGTCTCATTATAATATCTTAGTTTCTTTCTTCAAAGATTTATAAAGGAAAATGACCTAAAATACAGTTTATTAAGACAGTGTCAGATCTTTTACTGACAGGCACTGGAGATATATAATATTTTACTGTATACCAGTCAACATAGTCCAATTTCCCAGGAATAAATCTAGATGAACAGAGTATTTTTAGGTTTTATCTTATTGGTACAAAGGTATATCCACAAGCAATAAAACAGTTTAAATCTCATGAGGTATTTTTATGTTGCATATCTATTTTATGAGTATGAATTTTATTCATTATAGTAAAATATACAAAGTTTTAAATAAGCCAAGGATTCTTTCTCTTCCAAAGAAAAGTTTCTGCTACTGTGTTAATGATGCCTCACATCGGCAACTGATATATGGAACCTAATGACTTCCTAGAAAAAAATCACTTGTATTTTTCTTAAGTGTTATTTTTGTTACTCTTAATGAAAAATAAGATAATTGGTGATAATCAGTGATAGGAGAAATGATAATGGAAGGCCAAGAGTGATGACAGAGTTACTATCTGAAATTTAAGTATTTTCTTGTAATGGTGGAGCATCTTTTTGGACAAAATATCATTCTATAAATGGGAAAAAAGCATAAATAAGCTGATAGTTTGGATATTGTGGTTATTCTTTACAAATAAAAGAGAAATACAAATAAATGTAAATAATAGCAATGGACTGAAATGACGGGTATAAATCTGTGCTTCAAATGAATGCCTTGCAAAAAATAGACATTCCATACTTCTGCAAAGAAGTAAATTTGGGAGAAAACATCTTCATAGTAGCATCCTTAAGAAAACTTACTTATTCCACCATATCCATAATGCCCATATCCATAATCTCATGAGAATGTTTGCTATATAAAGTATAGAATATTTGCATCCAAAATATAGCACAAAGTGCAAGTTTTTCTATATGAAAAACAACGATTTTTAAAAATGTTCTTTGTGAATAAACTTCCAAAACCTATTGCTGACCATATTGACCAAAATATGACAAAATTTTGATACAATCTTATTCAACTTTCTGTAACCATCCTGTTTTTCTTTCCCGGTCACCTGCTAGTTGAGGTGCTATATGCTAACATGAACAGTAAAATGTATTCAGTTGAATTAAATCTGATATATACCCTCACATACGTATGTTTGATATGCAAAACCTATGACTAAGTCTCTTCAAGTGTTGAAGTATTGATGATAGAATCAGAACTCTGTATATTCTTTAGTAATGATGAATAACAAAGAATATAATTTTGATGTCTGATTGCTTGTATTGCTTTCTAACATACCCTGTTATTTCTCAAAAAGAAGATAAGGCAAATAAAGCAAGGAAAATAGGATAGTAATAACATTTTGCATGAAGAAAATTAATCAATCAATCATAAGAATAAGAGGTTTCGTAACACTGATTAGGTCATCCTGTCAACCCCTGAGGGCTGGTGTAGGACTGTCACTTGAAATCTCCTTTCTGATTCTTTATCAAAAATAGTTCCCAAAAGTGTCAAATGGAAGAGTATTGCCTCTGATATATTCATGTTCAGTGCTCAGAATAAATGTTATTAATATTTATTGCGGCATAACTTTCATTGTTATCATAGAGAGCATTTGAAAATGTTTTTGTATGATTGCAAATAAGGAAATCAGTCCTTCTAAGGGTATTTATTAGTTGAATAAAAATTCCCTATCTTGAAATCACAAAGGTTTGTTAGAACACTTCTTTGTTTGTTTATTCATTTGTTTAAAGACACATTTCAGACTGTGCAGGCCTCCTTCTACCAGAGATTTTTTAAAAAGTATTAACAATGAAAATCACTTTTAAGAACAAAGAAGTGAAAAATACAAAATTGAGAATCTGTGGACAAAACAGTAAGTCTCTAAAGGCCAAAGTAGGTCATAACAAAGAAAAGGGGGAAAAACTTGACCCAAGGCCCGGTGTCGTTAAATAAAGGTTTTTTGAATGTTCTCAAATGAGAGTATCATGTAGTGATGCTAGACTTAAGACTTTTATTGGCTCAGGCAGGAAACTCTTATGTGTATGAGTCTGTGCTTCCCAGGATGTATGACTATCTCGTTTTCCTGTTTTCACACCATTAAATATGACATGGTTCCTGAGTACCACCATGATTCACTTGTGAACCTCTCAGCATTTTCCTTTTAAAAATTCCCCTTTTACTATCTATATGTCATATTTTACTTGCAATTTAAGATGAGATAATTTCATGTTAATTTCAAGTATCTGCTTCATCTTAATATAACTACTGTAATTTTGATGATTTTTAAATCCACACAATTTCCATATTCATCTGAATTTTTTAACTGATGTATACTTTCATTAGTGTAAATGTTCTTCCAAAGTAGTATCTGCATAAAATACGGTTGTGTCTAGTTTATCAAAACATAGAGTTATGTAGATAGTCACAGCATAAAATGATCATGGATGATAGCAATTGATTACCTATAAAATGATAATGAAAAATCAATATCAGTCAATGGATTGTGAAAACAATCCATATTTAGTTTCAGATTTTCATAAAACATCACCTATTATGTAGGCTCAATGTTACAGATGAAATAGAGCTGTGTAACTGTGGTACCGTTATTCTTTATACAGATTGTAGGACATAGACCATTATATGCCTGTGTGGCCCCTGCAAACTAACGACATGCCAGGCAGCTTACCTAAGGCCGTGGACCTTTCTGGCCTAGTGCATCTTCCCTCCATCTAGGTTATATCAGCAATGAGATTGTAGACTTGCTTGCTAGAGGAACTAAGGCAACATTTGGAAGCCGCAACTACTCACTTAAATGTATGTTTATCTCTTATAGCAATAACCTAAAAATGGTTTTACTTCTATATGCCTTTTTATAAACTTACAGTGCAAGACAGTATACAGTATGTGTGCACATGTATGTATATATATACACATGTATATATGTATACATGTACAAATATGTATATACATATATACACTAATACAAACATACATATAAACACTATATATGTATATATAAAACTTACATAATATACATGTAATACGTATATAGTATAAAATACACAGCAATACAATATATCATATAATTTTTATATTTTCACATATATTTATAAATTTTTATAATTTTTCTTTACATTTAAATCATTGCAAATGAAAGTGAACTTCATCTTGTGGGACACAGAATTTACACACAAAAATTGTTTTAAGAAAAAAGTACAGGGGTGCCTGGGTGGCTCAGTGGGTTAAAGCCTCTGCCTTCGGCTCGGGTCATGATCCCAGGGTCCTAGGATCGAGCCCCACATCAGGCTCTCTGCTGGGCGGGAAGCTTGCTTCCCTTCCTCTCTCTCTGACTACTTGTGATCTCTCTCTCTCTCTCTCTCTGTCAAATAAATAAATAAAATATTTTAAAAAAATGAAAAAAGTACAAAATTATTAATATAAAAATAGAAAATAGTATTTCTATAGAATAAGAAATCACAGCAAATTACAGTAAAAAAAAAAACAGGCAAGAAACACAAACATCAAAAAAATATCCGGGAAAACAACATATTTGTATTAACTCACTGCCTGATATTCATCCGTAGTACTGGTTTTTGACCTCAGCAGCATACTTTTGGCAGCATACTTTTTGATCATGTTATCAGATTACTATGATTTTGCAATACTTTCCACAGAGAAAAGAATGAGAATTGGTGCCTCTTTCAACACCGTTGGTTAAAATTTAGTTTCTATTATTTTGGTTGGGCTGCATAATACATGTGACTTTACAAAGATACACAGTTACCAATTATAGTACTGCACAATTTTATCCTTCACATCCCCCAAATTCTAAAACTTCTATTTTCTGTGACTCCCACAAAAAAATGTAAATGTTATGTGTATTTCTAATCATCAAAACTGTATTAATTGCCAAGTATAGGAGGAGATAATTTCTATTTGAAATAGACATCGATGAAGTATCCTACTAACCATTGGGTATGTCTAATGACGGGAAGAAATTTTCTCAGACTAGCTTCTGGCTCTTGACTTCTCAAACCTTGTTTCTCCTCCATTATCCACATATTTCAAGTGCTGGATGCCATTGGACATGCTCATATCACAATATGACCTCTAGCCGTGGAATGGTAATGATGAGTTGGCACAGTGAGTGGTAAGAATGTCCATGAAAGTCATTTTTACAGTAGACAGATAGCAATAATAGCTCTACACAAAGTGAGTTTGGATTGTATACATTTATTGCATTAAACCCAAACTAAATGTATCACCAATTCAATTTCCCCTTTGGATTGCAAAATTTCCAAAGCCACTTTAAAATCATATACAGAAAAGATGTGGCGAAGGGTAAATCGATTGAAATGTGTTGGAGATCTTAAACAATTGCACTTAAATTAACTTCTTTTTGAAAATTTAGTAAGAACATATGGCTTTCTAAATATGCTGTTAAAGCCTCCCAGGCTTGGAAAAAGCCTGTGTAAATAAAAGGGGATCCCCGAACTTAAGCTTTATTAGCCCCACAGTGAGCTTGGGCTCTAATTGCAAATGTCAAGGCTTTTAGCATATTGCATATATTGATGTTTTTAAATAAATATGTAACATCTCTTTTAAATATACCAAAGGAATCTAAATATCATGATGATTCAGGACTACCATATTTATTTTTAAAATATATGAACAGGCTTTTCTTTTAGATTCTATATTTATACTGATTTTCTCCTTGAACTAATTCCCTAGAGAATCTTATCCTAAAAAATATATATATTGTTGGATATTATTTTGTCAAGGGTTCTCTCATACTTCTTAAACATTGAAAATGTTTATTTTAAATACAAAATACATAAAAATGCAAAAATATGTATTGAGATTTTTATTTTCTGTTTCTGTATGTTTCTATATAGAATATTGCAAAAAATTTTTCTATAATGAAGTTATAATTATTATGTCTACATGCTTGATCAAAACAAATATAATAGTTATTTTTATAATATTTAAATTTTACAGATGCATCTTTTAATGAGAGATTTTTTCATAAATCAGTGAGTGAAAATTACTTTTATTTTTTTTTAAGATTTTATTTATTTATTTGACAGACAGAGATCACAAGTAGGCAGAGAGGCAGGCAGAGAGAAAGAGAGAAGGAAGCAGGTTCCCTGCTAAGCAGAGAGCCCAGTGCGGGGTTCGATCCCAGGATACTGAGGTCAAGACCTGAGCCAAAGGCAGAGGCTTTAACCCACTGAGCCACGAGGCGCCCCTGAAAGTTACTTTTAGAAGGAATCTCTGTTCAGCTTCCAAACATTTCCTAATTTTCTTTTTTTTTTTTTTTAAGATTTAGTTATTTATTTTAGAGATAAAGCAAATGCACGTGCACATGCAATCGGGGGAGAGGCAGTGGGGGAAGGAGAGAATCTCAAACAGACTCCCTGCTGAGCATGGAGCCTGACTTGGGGCTCAATCTCACAATCCTGAGATCATGACCTGAGCTGAATCAAGAGTTGGTCCCTCAAATGAGCCACCCAAGTGCCCTTCTTTTCTTTTCTATAAATGTAAGCACTGTGAAATCCTCATAATGATCAATATGAAAAGAGAAGAAAGTTTGGTTATAGCCATGCCAACGGTTGAACTCTTTCTGAATTATATGGTACATATCACACAATGATCTATTATTTGATTGGTTTGTATATTTTATCAATTATTTTCTCTTTCAAATTCATTAAAGACATCCCAATTTGAAAGATAATTTGTTTCTTAGCCATTCAAGTCATGTACTTTCTCAGTTTCTTATTTCTGCTAAGGTAAACAAATAACTAACAAGTTTCCTCAGGGCTCACTTGGAAGAACATTAACTCTTCAACTTGTCGTCATAAATTTGAGCCCCACGCTGAGTGAGTGTAGAGATTATGTAAATAAATAAGTTCTCTCAAGACTTCCCATGATTATTGTTATTCTATTGTTATTTACTTTATTATTTAAAGACAATTTTTTTTATGAAGCTAAAAGTATCAACAAAACTCCCATATAATTGAAAGTGGTATATTTTAGGGATCTTTGAATATATTTATATACTTTAGTATAAAAATAAAAGGTTGGGACATTAAAGCAAAACTGTCATACTCCCCCACTTCTCTATAATACATCTGAATTCTAACATCCCAAATGATCCCATTTCAAATGCCAGGTGTTTCCTTTTATGGAAATATGTGTAAGGAAAAGAAAGACATTAAGCTTTGCTGCCGGTTTAGCATACCTTCACTAAAGGGATCTTCTCAGACATCAAATTTTATACTATAGGTTATTTGATGCCCTCAACCATTTTATACCCCAAGGTATAACGTTTGGTATGGTGGGGAACTATGTCCTTTTTTTTTTTTTTTTTTAATCAATTGTAAAAGGTTAGGTAGGAGAGGAGAACTGGTGTGATTTCAAATTGCAAGTATATGCTCAAGCAGAACAATTTCACACAAAAAGTACACATCAAAATTGCAGCTCTAGATTAGAAACTTTCCACAGTCCTCTTGGAAGCTGCTTCTCACCCATTTTGAATGCTTATATCTTGCTTCCTTTCCATGACTCTTTAGATGATAGACTTAAGCCAATGAAACCCTGAGGTCTGAGCCATCTCTCTCCCAAATCTTTAAGTCCAGACAACACATTTGGCTTTGGCCTTGCTAAACATATACGTATGACTGTAACTTACTAATGAGATATATCATTACAGGAGAGAAAATCCCCAATTATAAAAGAATTAATTTGGTATTCATTTTCAATAATTATAAAAATGTATACGAACATATGGTCATTTATTCAACCAAAATACTAGACCAGTGCTTCTCAAACTAAATTTAATGTGCATAGAGATCACTTGGATGTCTTATTAAAATACAAATTCTGATTCCATAGGGATTACATAGGTCTGTGGAGGGAGTTGAGATTCTGTAATGCTAAGAAATACCCAAGAGACTGTGCGTAGACTAACTACACAATTAGTAATAAAATACAAGACCACATTTAAAATTGGGATTATATAAATATAAATATAAATATGATGTAAATATATAGCCTACATAGTTGGTTAAAATTTACACCTTCTGGTGAGTGAAAGAAAAAGAAAAACTAAATGAAATGCCAAATATAGTCATGTTTACATTCTTATTATATCTCATGCAAAAATATTCTAATCCAGGGGTTCAAAGGAATGGAACCGCCCCACTAGAAAATAGTGGGGAATATGGGAATCTGGATCCACATAGATGATAAGCTTTTTTATTGTGAAATAATGAGAACTATTATATGATTTTTTGACATTTGCCACCTATGCACCAGTTACAGAGAAAGACAGACTTTCATATCATAGTTTAAGATCTAATCAAGAGAGAGTTGAAATGATAAAAAAAAATCTGTCTATTCCAATTCTCCATCCAGGCAGACATCTAAGACTTAGTTCTCTTCCACCTACATATCAAATAAATTTCCTTATATAATTAACTTCCTTAACAGTTCTTGCAAACTAGATTACACTTTGAAGCTAATTTTGATAGATAAGACAATGATTCTCAATCCTATCAGATCTAACAAGTGTGTTTTTATATTTTATCATATGTATGTTATACTGTCTCCTCTCCCATCCTGAAATAAACCAAAATCACAAATAATAAAGCCAACCTTCAGAGATTATTAAATAATCAATAAAATGTGCTATTCTAAATAAGTGAAAAGCTGTGTGTCTTTGAGTGTATGTCTATGTGTGCATGTGTCAAAGACTCCTATATTTCCAATTTCAAAGTTCTGTGTCTTGAAAACACTTGGTATAACAAGTTTGAGTTCATCTTTATTGAATCTCTTTTCTCTCAACTGTGCAGTGATTCCTTTAAAAAAAAATCCAATTTTTTTTTTAGTTAAATTCCCTTTCATTGGATCTTTATTTTCTATCTTGTCCTTTATGACAATTGGTTTTTCCTAATATGTTCAACTACTCTCTCTCTTCTCTCTCTTACTGTATTTATTTTCATGCATTTGACACCCAGATT